GGAGGTCGGCCATCCACGTGTCAATGATCCTTCCGCCGAGAACCTGGTTACGACTTCGCCTTCTTCACTGATAAGGGTCGATGGACTTCTCACAGCAGCGTCAGCTGCGAACCGCCCGCAATCCAGACACTTCAGCGGGCCATTCACTCGGTACGAGCTATGCGCGAAGGATGAACCAGAGCACCAGCGGCAGGTCGGCATCAACAGCCTGTGGGATGACTGCAGCAGCTGGAGTAGCGCCCGCGTCCAGAACGGCACCAACTTGGATGACAAGCGAGATGCGCGGTGGTGGGATAGCGAGAGGGGGAGGGGGGGGAGAGCAGAGGTTCGAACACCCGCTCCGATACCAATGTGACGCACGTGCGGCGGGCACGTGCGGAGATGGTGAGAGATAGAGGGAGAGAGGAGATGGACACAAACTTGAAGCAGTTGCCAAGTGAAGGTCCAGTCCGGCCGCATGAATGACCGAACGAATAGAATGAATGAACCTGCCGCCCTGGGCCTAGGGCGAAGTGATAGACCGGCCTAGGTCCAGGTGCGGAACAACCTGGTACCGGACCAGGGCCAGGCCAACGGCCTGAAACTGGTCCGGCCTCACTGTCGGGCCGTAGGGGTACCGCTACAGCGCCTTACAGATGATAAACTACCAAACATAAGCGCACCGTAGATATCCAAAATCTATGGGTGCGAATAGTGAAATGAACGGGGCGGTCCGATAGCTACTGCTACCTGATTGCTAGTAACCTAAAAGTGAAAAGACAACTAAAACAGACGTAGGACAATTACCGCACAGGTCTCATCCAGATAAAATAAGAAAAATGCATGCCATAGATGGTGCCAGATTGAATAGGAGAGTCCTGGAGTTGAGGGTCGCAGGCCCACACACCTCCTAGACCACCCCATACCCCCCATCGTCCCGCAAGGGACGTGGTCGTCTTGCAGGGAATGGTTGAATGAGCGGATGAGCGATGGAAGCTGGCGGCAGAAGAGAGGCACTCCGGAGCACGAAGGAGATTATGAGAGCGGGTTGGAGTGGTGCAACAATGTTATCAATGAGTTTGGTTGTGGGCGGCGATTGCGTTACGGAATGCAAAAGTTATTACTTGGTCTGAATGAGTGGTTGGGGAGAAATAATGTTAGGCGGGATTGCATGAGGTGCATTGATCTGGATATTTTATTGTTTATACTCAGTCAGTGGTTAATCGAGGTGGAAGGTCGTTGCCAGACAGCGGATTGCAAGAGAACTCCAATAGTATCGCCATCAACTGTGGAATCAGTGTAGATGCGACTATAAATTGCTTCAGTAATACTTTCAAATTGTTGGGCAGAAAGAAAGATGGTCCGTGCCAGAGTAGTCATGCAAAGTCTTTTCGAAAAAGCGTATCGAGAGTATGCGTTGCAAAGGGGAGTAACAGAGGAATCTGCGCCTCCGTTGCGATGGGAGAAATTGAGTATTGTTATAAATTATATGAGGAATAAGATTTTGACATTAAAGGGGGTGATGGAAGTCGAGGCCTATAGAGATGTTGCAAATTTTTTTAGAATTAAATAATCATTCTATTGTGAAATTACATTCGAAATTCTAAATTTTCATTCCATCTTAAAAAATGTCATTCCAATTTTAAAAATTTCTGTCTTACTTAAAAACTTTCCTTCCAACAATGGGGTATCCCTTCTTATTTGAACTGCATGCTAGAGATGGAATGAAAGTGTGGACGAGTTCATGAAATATTTTAATTGGACTGTCATTCTAACTAAGGATTTTCAGTCATAAATAGGTTAATCCAATCTAAGTTCGAAAATATTTCTTGTAGAAGAATGAAAATTTAATTAAAACATTTCATAAACTCGTCCAGACTTTCATTCCATCTTGAACAAATAGATGTAGTTGGAAGGGAAAGCTCATATTGAGACGGGATCTTATCAAATAAAACTGAAAATTTTAGAACTAGACGAACATTGGAATGATAATTTATAAATATGAAGGATTTGTTTTTTATGGAATGTTTTTTCAACTTTCATTTCTTGTGGGAATTTTTCTGTTGTATTTATGAGAAAGTTGAAAACAGTGCGGGGAGGGGTTGCATTTGCAATATGCAGAAATCGGTGTGGCGGAGAGGACAGTACGGCCTGGATATACTAAGACTGATCGTCAAGGGGGGAAATTTTGATAAGATTGCGTGAGCCTGTAGATGATGAAGAGACATTTCTAGGGATATTGAGTGAATTGGTAGTTGCTTACAACAGAAAAATTGTGACAAATTTTTGGCCTTGATGAACATATGTGGACACCATATTTCAATCGTTGGAACTGTGTTTATAAACTGTTTGGCGGGGGGGGGGGCATGTGTTCTACCAAAAGTCAAGGAAACCAACGCTGACAAAATATTGGAAAAACTGAAAATGGTGTGTTCATCTGTTAGTCCAACTATTGAAATGATGTTGGTCCAACTGTTGAACAATTGTTGAAAACTTATTGAAAAGTTGTTGAAGAGTTGTTGAGAGCTTGTTGAAACGTGTTGAAAACGTGCTGAATCTTGTTGAAAACTTGTTGAACTGTGTTGAAAGTTTGTTGAATCGTGCTGAAAACGTTTCACCTTTCGTGTATGGTCCGCGTTTTGTATGGGGGGAAAAATTCGTTTCGCAGTGCTCATGTCGTGGGTTTTCGCGGTTTGTTCTCCTCCTTTTCTCCTATTGGACGATTCGCTGTGCAATTTCGCAAATGTCATGTGTTGGGTCTTCTGGCGGACCTCACATGCAACAAAAGCAATGACTGAAATGAGAGAGAGAGAGAGAGAGAGAGAGAGAGAGAGAGAGAGAGAGAGAGAGAGAGAGAGAGAGAGGTTCACTACTGCGTGACACGAAATCACCCATATGGCTGTGTTTGAGAGAAAGTGTCACGCAGTAGTGAACGGTTGTTTTCTGTTGGTGCCAGGTAGCGGTATTTCATTTTGGTGATATCTGTGTAAGGGAACGTCGATTACATGCTGAGCTGCCAGACTAGAAACTCGGTTCACTACTGCGGGCATAAAAACTACCGATATGGCTGTGTTTGAGAGAGAGTGGCACGCAGTAGCCAACCTTCCTTTTGAGTCCGCAGGATTGCTGTTGCTTCATTATATGTGGCCACATGTGTGGAAGCCTCAGTTAAATCGTGACCTTCCCTGCAACAAACACGGTTCACCACTGCGTGACACAATTCTAGCAACATGTGAGCATGAGAGAGATAGTGGCATGCACAACCCAACCTTGCATTGAGGACAACCACGGTTGCTGTTTTTTTTTCATAACATAGTTGCTCAAGGACCAAATACACAAAGATGACCATTAGAAGGCATTGTACATTTGTGTGTCATAAATAACAGACCATGTATTGTTAAGTGACTGTTCGAAGCACACAGTTC